TAGCTCAGAGCTGGTCTTCCTCAGCAAAAAGAGGAGGATTAGCATGGATGTTAGCTCAGGGCTGATCTTCCTCACCAAAAATAAATAAATAAATATGCCAGTGTATCTTGAGAGACACAGTTCCAAGGTTGGCAACTGCTGGTGACAATGTAGGACTCTGAGTGTCAGCTATAAGGGGCTCCTGTCCCCTGAGATGGAACAGAAGACCCTGTGTCTATCTCTCCATATAAGACCACGGTCTTTAAATTTGATTTTGTATAAATTTTTACCCAAATAAGTTTGGGCATAGTAGGAAATATGCAAAAACACACTTAAATACACACGTGTGCAGGTATATGTGTGTGTATCCTCAGCAAACTATATATTTAACCGATGTTTGTGTGCCAAGCACATATTTGCATCTTAGACTCATTATGAAGAGCCGCCTACCGGTCGTGACAGAGCCAGCATTAGATCATAGGTCTCCTGGCACACCCACACTCTACCCCCATCTGTTACTCCCGTCCTTGCGGCCCTGCCTTCCCTATGGCCGTCTCCACCCTGCAGCATGCCAGCTGCCCCTGGCAGCACCTCTAGGGTTTACTCAGGAGAAATGAAAGTCTGTTTGGCCCTTAACATGCACTTTCCCATCTCATCCCTGGAATAGTCATTGTCCTTCCTGTACAGGTGAGGATGCTGAGGCTTCAGAGGTACATTACTGTGTGAGGCGATATATTCACACATCATCTTCCCTCTGTCCCTCCTTTCCTTCTTTCTTCCTTCCCTCTCTCTCTCCCTTTTTCCTTTTTTTTTTAAAGAAGTGGGATTATACTAATTACATATTTTTGAAATCAGCTTTTTAGCAATATTGGGCACTTTTTCCTTAATTCTTCAACATAATGTTGAATTTCTGTGTAATATTCCGTTATAAGGATATAAAATGGTTTACTCAGCGTACTCTCTAAGTGGAATTTTTAGGATTTTTCCTATTTGTCCCAATTGTAACCTCAGTTATAAAATTCATTGGGAGAGTTTTTCACGTACATCTTTGATATATCTCGACTCATTTGCTTGAGATAAATTCCTTCTCATAGAAACACTGTAAGCAAAAGATTCCAGCGGTTTTGATTTCTGTGTAAAACTTAGTCCTAAGTGCTGGCTAGCTGACATGTGCCTTTTTGGCAGTCTCATTTCTTAACGGAAGGCCCATTTGAAGCTATCCCCAATCTTAGCAGGCCAATTTCTTGCAAGTTATGAATTATCTTCCATGTTCCAGACTATCTTACTCATGTGTACCACATTCAACGAGACTGTAATCTAATGCTGAACTACAAGGACGTCCTTCTACTTGTGGGTCATATCCACAAATTAAGGGTATCTTTCCGAATGTGATAGTTGTCAGTGGTCTGTCACGAATAGATCTTGCCTACTTGGGTGCCACTTCTGGTAACACCTACATGTATACATTGCCATTGCTTTTTTAAAAATGTCGTTACCTCCTGAAGTGAAATGGGTTAGACACCATTTCTGAGTGACAAGAGAGAAAGTGACTAGGAGACAGATCTGAATCGGTCAGATCTTGAAAGTGGACTCTGAAGGTCCGTTAGTAAACATACCCCTCCCCCCCAAAGAAAAGCCGAGAGACAAAAAGGATACGTGATGTAGAAAAGAGACCAAAGACAGTGCCAGGCTCAACAAAAGAGTGGTCGCTGTCATGGCGATCAGGACCTAGCAACTGAGAATTCTGAAGGTGAGAACAATGAGTGGTGGAATGTGGTGGCAGTAGAAGGCTGAGGAGAGGGCCCTGTAATCAGACGCCAGGCCCACTGTGTGGCCGAGGGCTCGTAGCTGCCCGTACTGAGGAGCCAGCCGTCAAGAGTCCGGGCTGTCCAAGAACAGCTGCGTGCGCGGCAGCAGGGCTGGCCTGGTGAGCCAGCTGCCTCGTCCCCGACGCCCGTTCCTTTGGAGACCGTGTCACCAGTGAGTGGAGGCTCATTCCTTCTTGGTTGTGTATTGTTTACTATGGTAAAATAGGCATAAAATTTGTCATTTGTTATGTGTACAGTTCAATGGACATTCACACTGTTGTGCAACCATCACCACTATCTGTCTCCAGAACTTTTTCCTCTTCCCGAACTGAAACACCAGCCCTGTTAAACAGTAACTCCCCATTCCCCCCTCACCCTCCCCTGGCACCCACCATTCTACTTTCTGTGTCTCTGAGTTTGACTACTTTAAGTATTTCATGTAAGTGAAATCATACAATATTTGACCTTTCGCGTCTGGCTCTTTCACTTAGCATAATTAGTCTTCAAGGTTCATCCACGTTGTAGCATGTGACAGAAGTTCCTTCCGTCGTAAGGCTGAATAGTATTCCGTTGTATGGATAGACCACGTTTTGTCTATCTGTTCACCCGTGGATGGAAAACTGGGTCCCTTCTACCTTTTGGCTTTTGTGAATCATGCCATTATGAACATGGATGTACAGATATCTGTTTGAGTCCCTGGTGCCGCCAGATTTCAGAAGCACTGCCTCGGTTTCTTTCTCCTCCTCCCCTCTCAGAGGATGAGGTGCCCCTCCTTTCCCAGATGACTGTCCTACCACGAACTTCAATTGTGCTTGCTCCCACTTTACCCCAAAATGATGTATTGTAAGAGGATGGAATCTGCAGCCAGCTGTCTGTCTCCACCACCTACTTCCTGTGTGACTTTAGGCGAGTTACTCAACCTCTCTGTCCTCAGTCCTTTCACCTATAAAATGAGGATAAGAATACTACCTACCTAGTATGGTCCCACAGGTCTTTCAGGGTGAGCTCACTGTGGGGGTGGGGTCCACAGGGTCAAAACTATTTTCATAATAACACTAAGATGTTAGGTGTCTTTTTCACTCTCCTTCTCTCATGAGTGTACGGTGGAGTTTTCTAGAAGGCTCCATGACATTTGATGTCAAAAACCTGAATTCAGAAGTACGTGTGACTCCAGTCACCTTCTGTTAAGCCTGACGTTAAAGTGATTCGCAGAATGATAAAAACAATGCCCCCTAAATTTTGATTTGGAAAATGTGGTTACTTTTCATAAAAATCCTTGTGTTAATATGTAATGGTTTATTATTATATGAATTAATAAATCTAAGTTTCTCACTTTTTATCTCTAATGTGGTAAATATCTATAGATGCAACCTGCATGGACAAAAACTCTTTGGGGTCCTGAATTTATTTTTTTGTTTCTATTTTTTCTTACTGCGGTAAAATATACATAACATACAATTGCTGTTTTTAAGTGTACAGTTCAGTGGCATTAAGTACCTTCTTATTGTTGGTCACCCATTGCCACCATCCAACATCACCTCCAGAACTTTTTCCATCTTCCCAAACTGAAACTCCATCTCCGTTAAACACTAACTCCCCATCTCAATAATTGTTAAGTGTAAAGGAGGAGACTTTTTGGTCCTTTTTGGTCCCAAAGTTTAGGAACCGCTGACCTGGAGCAGTGCTTAGCCCTCAGCAGGGCTAGGGAGGGTGAGCTGTCCTCCACTGGGCGGGTTTCCCTTGGCCCCCACACGCTCTCTTCCTCGCAGGTTCACTCGTGGCCGTTGATCCAGCTCTGTGGGGAATTACCTGTGGGCTGCTCACCTTCTCCCGCAGAGGCATCCTGACCTTCCTCTGTTCTGTTCCTCGCCCTCTTTTCAATTAACTAATTGGTTAATTGAAAATTACCTTTAAGAGTAATGTTTCTGGCAAAAAATGAAAACCATCAAAAAGGGGATGTTGGACGTGAAGGGAAAGTTGTACCTCCACAGCCCCTACCCCAGTCCCGCTTCCCTGAGGTAACAATTTTAACCATTTCCTGCACCTAGAAGTTCTCTCTTCATGTGCAAACATGTTTTATATATTCATATATATCATGTTTATCCATATATAAACGTACTATATACTTTCACTGAAATGGAACCATTTCTATACAAACTCTTCTGCAACGTTCATTTTTACTAAGCAAGGTATTTTGAATAGCTTTCCTTACAAGTACA